TGCAGAGCTACGGGGAGAATCGAGATAGCTCTTTTAAAATAAAACAGCACAGACACGATGATCCGAATGGCCTCTTTCTGTGCTGTATAATTCTATGATGCCGCAACACAACGAAGGAGTGACTAAGAGGCAAGCGGGCTGCTCTTTTTAAGGGCATTTAGCCTATTCTCTTATTTTGGTAAGATACCGCAATGATATCCAATGATATCCTCAAACTGCCGAATTATAACAAATAATGATAATACTTGATATAGAGCTTTGCATTTAGTTTAGCGTCTTATCAAATCTTCGAGATGTCTCAAAGTGCTTCGCAGATTATCCCGTCAAGTGAATTGACTGTATATTTTGTAAGTGAAACTCAGTAGCCAATTGCGCACAGCAGTATCCCGCAAACAGCTGTGGATTGAGTGACCAAATTATTATTCTTATTTTTAAATTGATTTATAAAGTGTTACAGTGGCAACGCCCCTTCTGCAGCTACAAGCATCTTTTCCCCGACAAAACAGTTTTATGTCACAGTGTCCCCACCCCCTCGATTCTAATTTGCAGATTTGATGATGCGAAAGTATTCAGCATGAAAATTAAATATTATCTGTGGACTTAAAATGCTCTTAAAGCCATGCGATTTAAACTGTGTTACCGCTCGTATGCAAGCTTTCTAACATCAAGCTGGCAACAGCGCACAGGCTATACACAGCCATACAATACAATATTACATTTGTAAAGTGCCTTTCAACAAGACAACAACAACAACAAGATTCCATTTATTGAGCGCCTTTCACGTCGGGAGGACGTCCCAAGGCGCTGTACAGTTGGGTCAGGACCCGAGCAGGGGGGAAATGGTCAGGGTGAGGGGAGGGAAGGGAGGGAGCGAGGAGGGGGAAGAGAGTCGAGAACGGAGCTGAAGGCATGGTCAAAGAGAAAGGTGTTGAGACCGGCCTTGAAGGAGGAAAGGGAGGACGCAAGGCGAAGGCACTGGGGGATAGAGTTCCAGAGCCTCGGGGCTGAGAGGCTGAAGGCACGGCCACCGATGGCAGGGCGGTTGGGGCGGGGGATGTGGAGCAGACCGGAGCCAGAGGAACGGAGGGTACGGGCGGGTAGGTAGGGGGATAGTAGGTCGGAGAGGTAGGAGGGAGCGAGGCCGTGAATGGCCTTGTTGGTGAGGATGAGGATCTTGAAATCAATCCTCTGGGGATGGGGAGCCAGTGGAGGTGAGCGAGGGTGGGAGTGATGTGGTCACGGTGTCTGGTGCGGGACAGTACACGAGCTGCAGAGTTCTGAATGACCTGCAGCTTGTGCAGGGAGGTGCCGGAAGGCCGGCGAGGAGAGAGTTCCCATAGTCCAGCCTTGAGGTGACAAAGGCATGGACCAGAGTTTCAGCAGCGTGAGGGGTGAGGTAGTGCCGTAGTCTGGCGACATTCCGGACGTGATGGAAGGCGGTGCCAGTTGTGGCGCGGATATGGGGGAGAAAGGACAGCTCAGGGTCGAACAGAACCCCGAGGTTCCTGACTGGCTTTGAGAGGTGGAGAGTGCAGCCTTGGATGCTGATGCTGTCAGCGCCTGAGGTACGGAGTCGCTGACGTGAGCCAATCAGGAGTTGCGTAAGTTGAGCTGAAGAAAGTTATCTCTCGTCCAGGACTCGATGTCGGACAGGCAAGCTGTCACATTGGGAGGACGTCTCAAGGCGCTGGACAGTCAGGAAACTGGAACTGAGCGATGGGTGGGGTGCTTGGGGTAACCGAGTTGGAGGGCAGGGTGAGTAGGAGGGTGACCGAAAGCCCGACTACCGATGGTGAGATGGGCCAGGCCGGGGATGAGGAACAGACCAGAGCCCACTGAGCGGAGGGAGGGGACAGTTTGATAATGGGTGACCATTATCAAAGGTCACAGAGGTAGGAAGGGGCAAGGCCATGGAGGGCCTTGATGGCAAGGAGGGGAATTTTGAATTCTAGACTGAGGGATGGGGAGCCAGTGGAACCGGGTGAGGGTGGAGGTGATGGGGTCACGGTTCTGGTGCAGGAGAGGACACAAGCTGCAGAGTTCTGGGTGATCTGCAGCTTGTGTAGGGGAGAGTCAGGAAGGCTGACAAGCAGGGAGTTGGCGTAATCGAGCCTAGATGTGGGGAATGCATGCCTGAGGATTTCAGCAACAACAACAACAACAACAAGATTCCATTTACAAAGCGCCTTTCACGTCAGGAGGACGTCCCAAAGCGCTGCACAGTTGGGTCATGACCCGAGCAGGGGGGAAATGGTCAGGGTGAGGGAAGGGAGGGAGCGAGGAGGGGGGAAATGGTCAGGGTGAGGGGAAGGGAGGGAGCGAGGACGGGGAAGAGAGTCGAGAGGGGAGCTGAAGGCACGGTCAAAGAGAAAGGTTTTGAGACCGGCCTTGAAGGAGGAAAGGGAGGACGCAAGGCGAAGGCACTGGGGGATAGAGTTCCAGAGCCTCGGGGCTGAGAGGCTGAAGGCCCGGCCACCGATGGTAGGGCGGTTGGGGCGGGGCATGTGGAGCAGACCGGAGCCAGAAGAACGGAGGGTACGGGCGGGTAGGTAGGGGGATAGTAGGTCGGAGAGGTAGGAGGGAGCGAGGCCGTGAATGGCCTTGTTGGTGAGGATGAGGATCTTGAAATCAATCCTCTGGGGGATGGGGAGCCAGTGGAGGTGAGCGAGGGTGGGAGTGATGTGGTCACGGTGTCTGGTGCGGGACAGTACACGAGCTGCAGAGTTCTGAATGACCTGCAGCTTGTGCAGGGAGGTGCCGGAAGGCCGGCGAGGAGAGAGTTCCCATAGTCCAGCCTTGAGGTGACAAAGGCATGGACCAGAGTTTCAGCAGCGTGAGGGGTGAGGTAGTGCCGTAGTCTGGCGACATTCCGGACGTGATGGAAGGCGGTGCCAGTTGTGGCGCGGATATGGGGGAGAAAGGACAGCTCAGGGTCGAACAGAACCCCGAGGTTCCTGACTGGCTTTGAGAGGTGGAGAGTGCAGCCTTGGATGCTGATGGTGTCAGCGCCTGAGGTGCGGAGGCGCTGACGTGAGCCAATCAGGAGGGCCTCGGTTTTTCGCACGTTGAGCTGGAGAAAGTTGTCTCTCGTCCAGGACTCGATGTCGGACAGGCAGCTGTCAGGACATCGGTGGTCGTGGAGTTGAGAGTAGAGGAGGAAAGGTAGAGTTGGGTGTCATCCGCATACATGTGGAAGTTAACTCCATGTCTGCGGATGATGTCACCAAGGGGGAGCATATAGAGGGTGAAGAGGAGGGGACCGAGGACAGAGCTCTGAGGGACACCACATGAGACAGTGCGGGGGGTGGAGGAGAAGCCATTCGTCGAGACAAAGTGAAGACGGTGAGAAAGGTACGACCTAAACCATTCAAGGACAGTGCCTTGAAGGTTGAGGTGGGAGGACAAGCGGTGGAGGAGGATAGCGTGGTCGACCGTATCGAGCCTAGTGTGAGACAGTGGTGAAACCGGGCAATGTTGCGGAGGTCGGGGAAGGCAAAGGGGGTCATTGGCACAGATGTGGGGGAGAAAGGACAGTTGAGAGTCAAAGAAAATGCCAAGGTTCTGGACTAACTCATGAGGTGGAGGGTGTATGCATGGATGGTGATACTGCCAGTGCCTGCAGTATGGAGGTGCCAATCAGGAGGGCTTTGGTCTAGTTGACATTCAGTGGCACAAAGTTAGCTCTCATCCAGGACTTCATGTCTGACAGACTTTCTGTCAGGACAGCAGTAGTCCTAGTGTCCAGGCGGAGGCAGAGAGATAAGAGTTGTGTGTCATCCTCATGCGCGTGGAAGTTTACCCCGTGTCTGTGGATGATATCACCAAGTGGGAGCACGTAAAGGTTGAAAAGGAGGGGACCAAGGACAGAGCACTGAGGAACCCCACATGAGACTGTGCGGGGGCAGGAGGAGACCACATGTATGCGAAAAGGCAAGGAACGAGGAAATCTCTTTCCACATTCGGCACATTTACACAGTCAGTCCTGTGTGCCCTCGCTGGTGTCTTCGGAGGTTCCCTGACTGAGTGAACCTCTTTCCACATTCAGCGCACTGATACGGTCTCCCTCCTGTGTGTGATCGTTGGTGTCTCAGGAGCTCGCCCGAGGTTGTGAAACTCTTTCCACATTCGGTACACTTATACGGTCTCTCTCCTGTGTGTAATCGCTGGTGAACCTGGAGATCCCCAGAACTTGTGAAACTCTTCCCACATTCCACACACTTGTACGGTCTCTCTCCTGTGTGCGACCTGTGGTGAACCTTGAGCTCCCCTGAGGTTGTGTAATTCTTTCCACATTCGGCGCAGTTAAACCGTCTCTCTCCTGTGTGCGACCGGTAGTGAACCTTGAGGTCTCCAGACCGGGTAAAAGCCTTTTCACATTCCACACACTTATACGGCCTCTCTCCCGTGTGTGATCGCCGGTGAACCTTGAGGTCCCCTGACTTGGTGAAACTTTTCCCACATTCGGCACAATGGTACGGTCGCTCTCCTGTGTGCGATCGCTGGTGAACCTTGAGGTCCGCTGCCGTTGTGAAATTCTTTAAACACTCAGCACAATCATAAGGTCGGTCTCCCGTGTGCGAGCGATGGTGTATCTGGAGGACCTCTGATCGCTTGAAACTCTTTCCACATTCAGGGCATCGATATGGTCTCTCTCCTGTGTGTGATCGCTGGTGAACTCTGAGATGCTCCGACTGCTTGAAACTCTTCCCACATTCAGTACACTCATACGGTCTCTCTCCTGTGTGGGATCGCTGGTGTCTCTGGAGCGCCCCTGACTGTGTGAAACTCTTTCCACACATGGCACATTTATACGGCCTCTCTCCTGTGTGTGATCGATGGTGAACCATGAGGTCCCCAGACCTTGTGAAACTTCTCCCACATTTGGCACATTTATACATCTTCCCTCCTGAGATGGATTGCTGACTACCCTGCAGAAATTCCGTCAGCGAAAACCCCTTTTCTGCCACAGTTTTGTGGCAGATTCCAGAAAGTCTTTCTGTTGTGAAGATACATTTATGCTACAAGCTGATTGTGTGGTTGATATGTCTGGATGGAGTTTGGGAAGTATTCTGCAGTATTTCTGAGGGAACTCAGTGCTAGTAAACACAAAGTTGCACTGGGGGCCCAGGTGAGAATCAAAATCATTAACTTCGGCGGCTGATGAGAAAAAAGGAAGATCTGTATCAGCCACATATCAGATTTTTCTTTAGGAATTGCCGTCTGCGAATTTTGACTCCTGTTAATCCTTCCATTTGTACAGCACCTGTTTAAGTCAAAACAATGTACAAGGCTTCACAGTAATTAGCGTAGTATCAACAACTTGCATTTACACAAAGCCCAGAGCCCTACGCACGAGATAGCATTTTGGAGGACTTAACAGTGGGGGAGTCTGATGGCAAACCGGGAAGAGGTGACCGTAAGCACGGTCAGTTTTTGTCGGCAGCCACTTCCCACAAACTGCCGTGAGGTGGGGAGTGAGTGATTGGTGTCGAGGACGACTAACCAGGACACTGGGAGAAACTCTTCTTTTGATGCTGGGGATGTGTTTATTGTTGGAGGCGCCGTCCTTCAGAGGAGGTGTTAGAATCATACGGCACAAAAGGAGGCCATTCGGCCCGTTGTGTCCGTGCCAGCTCTTTGAAAGAGCTGTCCCAATTAATCCCTCTCCCCCTCTCTCTCCCCACAGTCCTGCAAATTTGTCCTCCCCAAATATCTATCTGCTTCTCTCCTGAAAGTTGTTATCGAATCGGCTGCCACCACCCCTTCAGGCAATGCATTCCAGATCTCCTCATTAAATTTGATCGGCCATTTATTTACCCATTTTACCAGTCTATCTACGTCCTCTTGCAGTCTGCTACAATCTTCCTCACCGTTTACTACTTTTCCAGCTTTGAATCATCTGCAAATTTGGAAAATCTATTCCCTGTACTCAAGTCCAGGTCATTTCTAAAGATTAAAAAGAGCAGTGGTCCTAATATCAACCCATAGGGGACACAACTGCACACTATCCTCCAGTCAGAGAAATCACCTCCACTCTGCTTTCAGTTTCCCAGCCAGTTCTGTATCCATGCTGCCACTGTCCCTTTAATACCGTGGGCTTCAATTTTTTTTTAAGTCTATTATGTTACACTTTATATCAAAAGCCTTTTGAAAATCCATATATACTACATCAACTGCACTACCTTCATCCCGTCTCCGTTACTTGATCAAAAAACTCTTATCAGGTTTGTTAGACACGGTTTGCCTTTAAGAAATCCGTGTTGGTTGTCCTTTATTAACTCATATTTTTCTAAGTGAAAATTATTGTGTCCCGGATTATAGCCTCTAGAAGTTTCCCCACTATTGACCTTCCCCACTGTCCATTGGGGGTGTGTTAAAAACCACGTAACTCGGCATTGATAGCAGTGTCTGGCAAGCTTTCCGGCTGCACGTTCAGCTCGGACCACTCTCCACATTACGGCTTTGGGCTTTCAGGTTTTACAGGATCTGAGTGAAAAAGAGTCCGATTAGCTCTCCTCCTCCTGGAGTTGCTGCGACTCACTCTTTCTTCTTTGACCACACATCCGGTCACATTTCCCTCCCCCACCCCTCTCGGCTCCTACCCCCAGCTCAGGTGCCAAGTCATGACAGTCAAGCACCTTGGGACATCATCCTGACCAAAGGTGCTGTATAATTGTAAATCTCTATTGTGTTGTGAATGCTGTGAAGCACTTTGAGACGTTTCAACGACCTGATAAGGGGCTGTTATCACATGCAAGGATTATTGTCAAACTCGCTTTTCAAATAAAACATAAATGACTATCTCCCTTCATGCGCTGGGATGTGTTATGGGCATGAAAGGAGGTAACAACGGGCACAGACAAATGCAGCACTCCCTCCCCCACAGCACCGTGCCGCAGTGTCAGCCTGGACTGTGAGCTCATTGTCAGCGATGTAGGGGCTCGAACCCACAAACATCAAACTCGGAGGCCAGAGGGCAACCGACTGAGCCGGGCTGACGTCTGCCCGATTCTGCGCTGTGAGCATTTTACGATGAGAAACTCGAATTGATTTCTTCCACATACACAGGTAATCATCCTCTGGAAGATCCCTTTCCTCAGTGTGAGATCTTCTCTCCCTGTTTCCCGGACTCTCGGCCTCTCCTCCGCTCGCTTAGCTGTCGTTGGAGCTCAAATCCTTTCCGGTTTGGCCCCCTGTGGAGTAAATTGAAAAGGAAAAACAGGAATGAGAATCGTACTGTTCACAAGAGTCCTGAGAGCTCTCACAACCCGAAGCCATTATTCCACAATTTGTGGTGGTGCAATGTTTGTGAGCAATTCAGTTGAGTATTCACTGAACTCACAGCCCAGACTGACACTCCAGTGCCAGCACTGAGGGGAAGCACCACAAGGTACTTTAATTGAGACGTTAAATCTCACTCCCCGTCTGTGCTTGACCGGCTGTGGGTTAAATGTCTCCCACAGCACTATTTGAAAAGAGAAGGGAATTTCCATGGCTGTTTGTGGCACATTGTGTGCATATTGGCTGCTGCATTTGCCCACAAGTGCATAGTCACACCACTTTACAGTGTGTCCTGTGAAGCACTTTGAGTTGCGTCAACGACGCGGTAATGTGATGGATCAAATCAAACTCAAATGGAGTTAATAATATTATTAATATTCGTAGGGCGGAGCCGGCAGAGCGGGGACCGAGCGGGGCCGGAACCGAGTGGGGCGGGGCCGGGACCGAGCGGGGCGGGGCCGGGGGAGCTGTAGGAAAACGACAAGCGACATAGAAAGACCTGATCCAGGAAAAGATAACACTGACAAAAACACAAATAAAAAAACCTTTTTTTAAAAAAAAACCCTAAAATCCAGAGCGAGAGAGAGAGCAGAGGATGGCCGGGCAGGTGATGGGCGAGGACTGTGATATGTGGGAGTTGATGGAGAGGAACCTGAGGCAAGTGTCTGCAGCTTAGGAAGGTGCAAACATCGCGCAGCACTGGGGAAAGTGAGAGTTTCCCGGATAGTTTTATCCTGGAGTCAGTCAGTCCCCTGAGGCTCAAGGAATGTGTAGATAACGTTACTAGTCAGGGACAGAGCAGCGTGACTCACAGTCAGGCAGGTAAAGGGACCCCAGAGAGAGTGCCGGAGAAGCTCCAGGCTTTAACCTTGTCCAACAGGTACGAGATACTTGCAACCTGTGTTGACAGGGAAGCCTGTGAGGAGGATGGGCAAACTGACTCCAACAGGAGGCCACACAAGTGGGGGGAGATAGATGGAATTTAGTTGTAATTGGAGACGAGACGGTCAGGAGGACAGACACAATTCTCTGCAACCGCAACCAGGAGACACAAAGGCTCTGTTGCCTTCCTGGGGCCGGGGGAAGGACGTCTCTTCAGGGCTGGAGAAGAATTTGAGGCAGGAGGAGGATCCAATTATGGTAATATATTAATTTAATTCAGGCACAAGCAAATTACAGAATTAAATGCGTGGCTGAAAGAGTGGTGCGGAGGCCAGGGTTTCGTTTTATGGGCCACTGGCACCAGTATTGGGGGAAAAGGGAGTTATTCCATAGAGGTGGGCTCCACCTAAACCGGGCTGGGACCAATGTCCTGGCAAAGCAAATAAATAGGGAGGTAGGCAGAGCTTTAAACTACTGAGGGGTTGGGGAGGAAGGTTACAGTTACAGTTAAAAGTAAACCAGCAAAACTAAGTACAATGAAGGTGGTAGAGCAAATTATCGAGGGAGATAAAAAGAGTGTGTCAAGGAGGGACAAGAAGCTCAGCGAAGAAAATAAGGCATTAGCGAGGAGGGGAAATTGCAAGAAGTCAAAATTCAAGGCGAAATATCTGAAAGCACGAAGCATTCGTAATAAAATAGATGAATTAATGGGACAAATAGAAACAAACGGGTATGATCTTGCAGCCATTACTGAGACGTGGTTAAAGGGAGATCAAGGATGGGAGCTAAACATTCTGTGATATTTGGCATATAGGAAAGATAGGCAATGTGGAAAACGAGGTGGGGGGGGGGGGTTGCCCTGCTAATAAAAGATGGGATAAAACAATAGAGAGGAAGGATTTTAAATCAGAAAATCAGGATGTAGAGTCAGTATGGATGGAATTACGAAATAACAAGGGGCAGAAAACACTAGTGGGAGTAGTTTATAGACCCTCGAACAACAGTCACAGTATTGCGCAGAGTATTAACTAGGAAATTAGAGAAGCTGTCGTAAAGGAAATACACTAATAGTGGGTGATTTTAATCTTCATATAGATTGCGTAAACCAAATTGGCAAAAGTAATTTAGAGGAGGAATTTATAGAATGCATTAGAGATAGTTTTCTAGATCAGTATGCTGAGGAACCAACCAGGGAACAGGCTCTCCTAGATCTTGTTTTGAGTAATGAAATAGGGGATCTACAGACCAGTCAGTCTGACATCGGTGGTACGGAAAATTCTAGAATCCCTACCTAGGACCATAACAAGATTAGGCAGTCAACGTGGCTTTACAAAAGGGAAGTCATGCTTAACAAATCTTTTAGAGATTTTTGAGGATGTAACTAGCAGGTTAGATAGGGGGGAACCAGTAGATGTAGTGTATTCAGATTTTCAGAAGGTATTCGACAAGGTGCCACATAGAAGTGTGCTACACAAGATTAGGGAACATGGAATTAAAGGCAATATATTAGCATGGCTCGAAGAGTGGCTAATGGGAAGAAAACAGAGAGTAGGGATAAAGGGGTCCTTCTCAGATTGCCAAGATGTGACTAGTGGGGTGCCACACAGAGCAGTGCTTGGGCCTCAACTATTTACAATCTACATCAACGATCTGGACGAGGACATAGAACTTAAAATATCTAAATTCACAGATGATACTAAGCGAGGTGGGAGAGTAAGCTCTGAGGATGACGCAAAACGATTGCAAAGGGATATAGATAGGATAGTTGAGTGGGCAAGAAGGTGGCAGATGGAATATAATGTGGGGACGTGTGAAGTTATTTATCTAGGTAGTAAAAACAGAAAAACAGGTTATTTTCTAGAGGGGGAGAGACGAGATAGTGCTAGTGTTCAGAGGGATTTGGGTGTCCTTGTACACCAGTCACAGAAAGTTAGTTTGCAGGTACAGCAAGGAACTAGGAAGGCTAATGGCATGTTGGTGTTTATTGCATAAGAGTTAGAATACAAGAGTAGGGAAGTCTTGCTCAGTTGTATAAGGCCTTGGTGAGACCGCACCTAGAATATTGTGTGCAGTTTTGATCTCCTTATTTAAGAAAGGACATACTTGCCCTAGAGGGGGTGCAGCGTAGATTCACTAGGTTGGTTCCTGGGATGAGGGGGTTGATCTATGAGGAGAGGTTGAGTAAACTAGGCCCATATTCTCTAGAATATAGAAGAATTCGAGGCAATCTTATAGAAACATAAGATGCTTATGGGGCTTGACAGGGTAGAGACTTTTTTTTAACCTGGTTGGAGAATCTATAACTAGGGGGTCACAGTCTTAAGATTAAGTGTCAGCCTTTTCGAACTGAGTTGAGGAAACACTTCTTCGCTCAGAGTGGAGTGAATTTATGGAATTCTCTACCCCAGAAGGCTGTAGATGCTCAGACCTTGAACATATTCAAGACTGAGATTGATAGGTTTCTAAAGGATAGAGGGATTAAGGGATATGGGGATAAGGCGGGCAGATGGAGTAAGGTTAGAAGATCAGCCATGATCTTAGTGAATGGCGGGGCAGGCTTGAGTGGCCGAATGGCGTACTCCTGCTCCTAATTCTTATGTTCCTATTATGAACTGTGGGAATATCCATTTCATATCGTTTAGAATAGGTGATGTAACGGGGGAGGGCAAAATGTCTCTCGAGAGTTAACAGATCCGAGAGATTAGAAGGGCCTTTATCCAGGAGAACATCAGTAAGACAACATTGAGGGATGGAATTGGAAAATGAGATTAATGACAAAACAGGTAAACAGAGTCAGCAAGTGGCAAAGTCACAATGGGACAAACTGCTTCCGGTGCTCAATCTTTCTGTGTAGCTTTTTGCAGGAAAAATACCTTTCTTAGATGCTTTGGGATCTTCACTGCCACACACTGACACTTCTCCTCTATTGGCCAGACTGCTCATTTCGTTTGCTGAACTCGTGGCTTCAGTCACATCGCTTGTGTGGTCACCTCCAGCCTCAGCCGATCCTGACGGGATGTGGGAGCTCTCCTTTTTGCTCTGAAACGCAGAAGGTAAGACCATTGTAAGCAAATGTCAGTCTGGCTCAGTCTGTCTCACTCTGGCGTCTTGGTCAGAAGGTTGGGGGTTCAAGCTCCCAAGTCGGGACTTGGAACCCATATAGTCTAAGCTGACACTCCCACCCAGTGCAGAGCGGGGGGTGAGCAGCATTGTTGGAAGTAACATCCTTCGGATGAGGTCCCATTTAGCTGTCCAGGTGCAGTGCTCCTCCCGATGTGAAAGGCAAATCCACGAGGATGATCCGAGGGGGACAGGTTACTGCTATCAGGATAGACTGGATACACTAGGCCTTTCTTCACTAGAGAAGAGAAGTTCAAGAGGCCCTAATGGAGGGGTTTAACATTATCCAATGGTTTGATACGGTTTGCAGATATAGGCTGGTCTGACTTGTTGGGAAATCCGTAACCAGGGGACATAAGTATAAGATAAAGGCACTATCCTAATGTAATTTGTTGTTGTTGTAGGTAATATGGGATCTAAATGAGATGCATTTTAGAGGAAGTGAGGTAGACACATGAGGAAGAAGGGAATAGAAGGGAGGGACTAAGGACTGGGTGGAGAGTGAAATGCAAATACCAGGGTGGACTAGCTGGGCCGAATGGCCTCCTTCTGTGCTGGAAATCGATGTCAAGTGTATTTAATAGTTGGCGAGTTACCGCCTTCTTGGCCTCCATCCTGAACTCAGGCTTGAAACATTCCACTCTGAAGGTAGACAAGAAAGGAGCAGTTCAGCATCAAGGGCACCACAATCTGTGTCGCCATCACACCAGCCCTCGACACACTCGCGCACACTCTCACATACAGACACTCCCGTACGCTCGTGCGTACACTCTCACGCGCACGCTGGCAGTCACACTCACGCACACAGGCACAACACACGCACGCAGGCACACCCACGTGCAGGCACACTTAACGTGTGGGCGCAGACCCTCTCACAAGCGCGCGCAGATACCCTCGCACTCGTGCGCGCAGACAATCACACAAACACGCACGCTCACACTCTTGACACACAAACTTGCGCGCGCGCACACAGACAGACACTATCACACACACTCTCACGCGCTGATACTCTCACACACGAGCGCGCAGATCCAGTCGCGCGCGTGCACACGCACTCAAACGCGCACAGCCACACGCAGATACTCAAACACAAGTGCGTTCAGACACTCCCTCACACACACTTAGGGGCTGAGAGGCTGAAGGCCACCGATGGTCGGGCGGTTGGAGCGGGGAATGAGGAGCAGACCGGAGCCGGAGGGACGGAGGATACGTAGGTAGGGGGATACTCACACTCACTCTCTCACACACTCACACTCATTCTCTTACTCTCACACTCACTCACTCATACTCTCTCACACTCACTCTCTCACACACTCACTCTCTCACACACTCACTCTCTCACACACTCACTCTCTCACACACTCACTCTCTCACACACTCACTCTCTCACACACTCACTCTCTCACACTCACTCTCTCACACACTCACTCTCTCACACACTCACTCTCTCACACTCATTCTCTTACTCTCACACGCACTCTCTCACACGCACTCACTCTCTCTCACTCACACTCACTCTCTCTCACACTCACTCTCTCTCACACTCACTCTCTCACACTCACTCTCACACACTCACTCTCACACACACTCACTCACACTCATTCTCTTACTCTCACACTCACTCACTCACACTCTCTCACACTCACTCTCTCACACTCACTCTCCACACACTCACTCTCTCACACACTCACTCTCACACTCATTCTCTTACTCTCACACGCACTCTCTCACACGCACTCTCTCTCACACTCACTCTCACACACTCACTCTCTCACACTCATTCTCTTACTCTCACACTCGCTCACACTCATTCTCTTACTCCCTCTCTCACACTCACTCTCTCTCTCCTCTCGGTCACTCTCTTTCACACACTCTCTGTCTCACTCACTCACTGACCGGACCCTCTCTCAGCGCCGAGTTGTGCGGCTGCTCAGCCCCTCTCCGCCCCCGCCATGTCTGAGCTTCTCCTCCACCAACCGTCACTCTCTCCCCGCCCAGTCGCTCCCCATTGGTCCTTTCCAGTTCCCGCCCCCTAGGCCTGAGCTTCCCATTGATCGTCCGCTTTGTCAATCAGATGGCGGGCCCGTGTCCACGTCAATCATCTCTCCCCCTCCCCGCCTCGCGCTCCCTGTCCAACCGTCACTCTCTCCCCGCCCACTCGCTCCTCATTGGTCCTTTCGAACACCGCCCCTGCTCTCGATTGGTTGAATTAGCTGTCAATCACTCAATTGCCGCTGCTCCCCTTCATCCCCGCCCAGTCTCTCCCCATTCGCCCTTTATAACACCCGCCCCCTCAAACGCAGCTTCCCATTGGTCTTTGCGGCTGTCATTCAGGACGGATTTTTCGCGTCACCATCTCCCCTCCTCCCTCTCTCTCGAACCCATACTGACTCCCCGCCCACTCGCTCCCCATTGGTCAGTCCCGCCCAACCCGAGCTTCCATTGGTTCAGCTGACCGTCTGTCAGCGAATTCCGCGCTCCCATTGGCTCTTGGGCACCTCCGCCCCGCCCGGCTTGCCGCGCGCCCCGCCCCATTGCCCGTACCCCAAAACCCGTTTCCTATTGGACTCAGCCGGCCGTCCATCATCCGGAGTCGCGCTCTGATTGGCCACAGATGATTGGCCACTGATCCTGTTGACTGGTCACTGACCCGAACAACAACAACAACAACAACTGACTCCTGCACAGCGCCCCTCACATCCGAAAGACCCCCCCCGGGCGGTGGAGAGTCACGGGGTCCGGGAACCGAGTTGGGGTCCGGGAGGATGGAGCGTTAGTGGGGGGTGTGGGGAGTCACGGGATTTGGGATCCAAGTTGGGGTCAGGAAGGGTGTAGTGTTGGGGGTTGGGGGGAGGGCGGGGGTGGGGGGTGGGGGGGGTTTGGGTGAGAGTGCGGCCGAAGAGCCCGGTGGAAGAGGAAGGTCTTCAGACGGGATTTGAAGAGAGGGATGGCGGAGGCGGAGGGAATGTGGGATAGGGTTCCAGAGGGTCGGGGTGGAGATGCTGTCCACCTACGGTAGGCGGAAGGGTGGTGGGGGGGGGGGGGGGAGCTGAGGTGTTGGGAAGGGGGGTCACCGGAGACATAGACACCAGAGTCACGAGCCGACCCCACTCTGTCTGTGTTCTCAGTGAATCACTTTGATACAGACACGGTGAAAATCGCGGCAGTTATGACAACAACAACAGCAACAACATGATTGTATTTATAGAGCGCCTTTCACGTCGGGAGGACGTCCCAAGGCGCTGGACAGTTGGGTCGGGACCCGAGCAGAGGGGGGAAGTGGTCAGGGTGAGGGAAGGGAAGGGAGGGATTGTTGGCCAGAACACCTGGAGTAACTCAGTGCTGATTTCGAATCTCCAAACTCCACCTGAACAGAGGAACGGGTCTGCGTTAAACACCACAACCATTCTTTGATCCCCACCATCTCACATGTGTATCCATCTTCCTTTCTCCATGCCACGATCAGTGGCGGAGACAACAAGCACTGTTCCCCGTAACATCTGCAACTCTCTCTCTCTCTGTAGCTCTCTGCTTAGCTCCTCTCTCAGCACGTACAACCTACCTTAAGCCTCCCTATTCCGTCACGCCTATGGTCACGGCGCCGTCCCAACTATTTATTAGTTACGGCGTACCGGACGCATAAGCACGTCAACTGCCGAGTGTAATAATTAACTTTCCTGCTCTTTATTTCAACATATCATTTTGTATTAAAACTACGAATCTCAACAGTTGTGGCTGGTGTTTGGTGGCTGCGGCTGGTGTTTGATGGTTTCCTCCTTCAAGCCCGGCCTCAAGACCTTTCTCTTTGACCGAGCCTTCGGCTCCCCTCTCGACTCTCTAACCCTCCTCACTCCCTCCCTTCCCTCCCCTCACCCTGACCATTTCCCCCCAATGCTCGGGTCCTGACCCAACTGTAGAGCGCCTTGGGACGTCCTCCCGACGTGAAAGGCGCTCTGTAAATGGAACCTTGTTGTTGTTGTTGTGGCTGGTGTTTGGTGGCTGGGGCTGGTGTTTGGTGGTTGTGGCTGGTGTTTGGTGGCTGCGGCTGGTGTTTGGTGGCTGCGGCTGATGTTTGGTGGTTGTGGCTGGTGTTTGGTGGCTGCGGCTGGTGTTTGGTGGTTGGGCTGGTGTTTGGTGGCTGCGGCTGGTGTTTGGGGCTGGTGTAGTCTCACCCTACACGGGTCTCGATCCCACCTCACAGGCGCAGCTCCCCACCTTTCCTGCCTCGAGCCAAGCCCGGGCTCCAAGCACTGCTCGTTTCCTAATGGTCTGTGCTCACTGCCCTGTGTCTGAGTCCCCCATCACTCGTTCTGGGTTTGATTCCCGGGCGGGTCAGGGCGCAACCTCAGGCAAGTTTCCTCACTCCCCACACACTCACTCACACACACACGTGCCAATGTTTACCAGCAGTCAGTAGGAAACCCCTCGTCAGTCGATTGGCGGATCAGTTTCCGGGGATAATAATCCCTTCAAAAATAATAATTTGGTTGCTGAATATACAACTGTTTGTGGCACATTGCTGGGCACTATTTCCTTCCGCGTTTCACTCCCAAAATACACAGTCACTACACTTTATATCCTGCAAAGCGCTTTGAGACATCTTAAAGACATGGTAAGGCGTTGTACCAAATGCAAGGATTCTTATTAATTACGATATTGAGCCCCCCCCACCCTCTGCTAACAAGTCAGTGGCTGATTTGTATACTTTGGGCCAATTGGCTGAGCGGTTTTTGAAGACGGTGCCAAGGTTTGGGGGGAATTGGGGGATGGGAGGGATTCCTGAGAACGTTCTGTGTGCACTGCAGCTGCTTGGATCTAGCTTTGCCATTGCAAACACTGGGTGTGTCAGTAATCCCCTGTTTAAAGATAGCCGGGGCCCTAAAATGTTCCGTAGTTGTGCTTAGGATGGACTTTGCTCAGAAGCAAAGATTAATAACAACAACAACTTGCATTTATATAGCGCACTCCACGCCGGACGGCGTCTCAGATCGCTTCACAGTAACGGATCCCGAGATCGAGCCAGCGGGAGGGGGAGGAAGGAGACCAAAGGTGCGGTCGGAAAGAAAGCTCTTCAGCAGAGACCTGAAAGTAGGAAGAGAGGGGGCGAGGCGAAGGGAGTGAGGAAGGGAGTTCAGAGCCTCGGGGCCTAGTGGCTGAAAGCACGGCCGCCGAGGGTGAAGCGGAGAATTCAGTGGACGAGGAGGAGGCCAGACCCGGAGGAATGAAGGCAACAGGTACTGTTTTGAGGAGAGAGGAAGTCAGAGAGGTCGGGGGGGGCAGAGGAGTGCAGGGACTTGAATACAAGAGTGTGGATCTTGAAATCAATCCTCTCTGGGACAGGCAGCCAGTGCAGTCTGGCAAGGACTGGGGTGATCGGGGAGCGGAGTTTGGTGCAGGTAAGAATGCGAGCGGCAGAGTTTTGAATAATATGGATTTTATGGATAGTAGTGGATGGGAGACCATCGAGGAGGGCATTAGAATAGTCCAGCCGAGAGGTGAGAAAAGCATGAACCAGGGTTTCAGCGGCTTTTGGGGAAAGGTGTTGGCAGAGACGGGCGATGCGTCGGAGGTGGAAGAAAGCGGTGCTGGTGAGGGACCGGATGTGGGGGAGGAAGGATAATTGGGGGTCGAACCTGATGCCTAGGTTGCGTATAGGTTCGGAGATCTTTAGGGGGAGGTCGGGCAGGTGGAGGAGGTGAGAGCCGTGAGATTTTAGATGTTGCTGAGAGCCAAAGAGTATGGCTTCCATCTTGTCAACTTTCAGCTGAAGGAAGTTTGTGCTCATCAAGCCCCTGAGATCTGACAGGCAGCTGACAGAACATCAGGGGACTGGGGGTCCCAAAGAGAGGTGGAAAAATAGAGTTGGGTGTCGTCCGCGTACATGTGGAAATGTCCCATGTTTGCGGATGACTTCCCCAAGAGGGAGCATGTAGATCAGAAAGAGGAGGGGGCCAAGGATGGATCCTTGGAGTACCCGCAGATAACCGGGTGAGAGCGGGAGGAAAAGCATTTATGCAGATGTACTGCTGGCGGTTTGTGAGGTAGGACTCGAACCAGGCGAGTGCAGTCCCACTGAAGTGGATGATGGAGGAAAGGCGGTGGAGGAGGATGACGTGATCGACTGTGCTGAAAGAGGCGTAGAGGTCTAGGAGGACAAGGAGGCAGAGGGAGCTCTGGTCACATATAGAGAGCGCAGTCTCTGTACTGTGGGCAGCGTGGTAACCGGACTGGAGGGGTTCGAAGACGGAGTGGGAGGAGAGGTGTACGCGGAGTTGATTGGCAACAACGATTTCCAGAACGTTTGAGAAGAAGGGCAAGTTAGAAATAGGGCGGTAATGGCTGGGGTTTGAGGGATCTAGGGAAGGTATTTTCAGGAGGGGGGGTGATGACAGCAGTTTTGAGCAGGCAGGGACTGATCTGGAGGAGAGGGACTGTTTGAAGATGTTAGTCAGTAGTGGGCAGAGGAGGGGGAGCTGGGTAACCAGTAAATTGGTGGGGAGGGGGTCGAAGCAGCAGGTGGTGGGTTTCATGGAGGTGATGGTGGGTGAGAGGGAGGAGGGAGAGATGGGGGGGGAAGGAATGTAGAATGGGGGTGGTGGTAGGAGCAGATGATGAGGAAGGTGACGGGGACAGAGAGGGAGTGGTGGTGGGTGAAAGGGGCAGGAGGATGAGGCTGCCTGGCGGATGTTAAGTATTTTAGATGAAAAGAAGTCCATGACCTCCTCACACTTGGCATTTGATGTGAAGATTGAGGAGGCCTGAGGGGGGCACAGAGGAGGTAGTGGGTGGTGGAAAAAAGGATTTTAGGGTTGTGTTTATCCTCCAAGATGATGTTGGAGTAGAAGGCTGTTTTTGCGAATGTCAAAGAATGGCGGTAGCTGTGGAGATGCTCGAGCCATAGTTGGCGGTGAACTGTAAGGCCAGTTTTCCGCCATTTGCGCTCAAGCAGACGGGTTTGGATTTTTTGGCGGC